AGTTCAAGTTGGCGCATGTCGCATTCCACATTTATGCCGATTGAGTGTGCCAGTTTCCGTTTTTCATGAGTTCGCAAACTCTGTCTTGCATTTATTGCAGCAAGCGAAGGCCAACCTCCACTCCACTTCACTATCTTAAAAGTCTCCCAAACTTTACTCCTAGCCTCCTTTTGTATAAGTTTACGTTTTATTTCTCATCTTCGAAAATTGAATTTATGGTAAGTTATCCAACAATTGCAAAAAACAAGGGAGAACGCTATAGTCGAGTGCTTTGACTATCAGAATTGTGAACATACTTAACTAAAAATCCAACTGAATTCAAACAAAAAACATAAGCAATAGATACTTAAGTCTTATATATTTTCTGCCACCAAATACAAATTATGTGATCATAATTTTTTTGATTTCTTTTTCGATCAAAATTATTTATATAACTTTTATTTTCAGTCCCCGTCAACTAAGGTCTCACATTAAGGCCCGGTATGCCAAAATCCCTTAGCAGGAACTTAATCTGTCCGAGAAATGTTAGCCGGCCCTCGAGAAACCGGTCCTCAGACTCTTTGTGCAAGTGGCAAATTATAATCGTGTGCCAATTTGGCAAGCAAATAAGCCGAGTTCCGTGCCTATCAATTGAGTTCCTTTTGGGATTCCTATACCCCCGGAATATATCTCAATTAAAGTGACCTTTTGCTGATTGACCCAAAACAGAAGTTATGTGCAAGGCAGGCGCAAATTTGGTTTATTGTTACGATTATTATGGGATTTTGCCGTGTCAGGGCTTCTTTTTCCCAAAGTTTATTCTGGTTAATTTACACGAGTGTCACAAATAATAACGTTTTAAAGAAAACGTTCTATAATTGGGCGAGTAGGTATCATATAGTTTTTCTTGTTGGGAATGCAAACTGTTTTTATTTGTTATAAAGTTATATACACATTACGGTAAAAAAAATATTTTTTTCTCATCCCTTCACGTGGTAGATTTAAATGTTCGATAAAACAACCAAAACCAAGCATTTTTTTTGAGTTAGGACTTAAAGATCCCTTGAAAGATACCTTAGTTATTAATAAAATAGAATCACATGAACTTAAATAAGCAAATTCCTGAATTTAAAATTCTTTCTAAAATATTGTTTCCTTGCTTTTCAATGGCTATATGAATACAGTAACAGAAAAATTGTAAGTTTGCCTAAAGTTTTTAAACAAAAATGCAAAAAAAATATTTTCAAAAGTTGTTTTGTATAAATATATGCGCATATCCGCCAAATGGTCAACCAGGACCGAAACAAAATAATCTTCATAATCATCGTATTTTTTGCCAATTTTCATAAATAAACAGCCCTGTTTTCATAATAGTGTGGAATTATAGCTTATTTCGTTTGTTTTGTTGAAGAAATTTCTCTGAAAACTGAAAAAAATTTCCTTTTTTTCATTTTTAGCTACTTTCAAAGGCGTTTTTTTGTTTAATTATTTCGCCAGGAAAACATATGCTTGCACTTTTTCTACCAAATCTCTTTATTGCAATCTAATAAGCAGATAAAAATCCAAAGAGGGTGAAAAAATGTTCAATTAACTGTTAATAAAACAACATGGAAAAATCGTACGTTCGCGACCGGAACTTTAATCAATGAAAAAAAAAACAAATGGAGACATTTATTTGGGAACAGACTCGATAGAAAGCTAAATTAATCCATTTTAAAAGTAAAGTTATTGCTTTAGAATATTCCGTCCCAATTCGCAGATTTTTGCATTTTACTAGCTTAAGCCCAAGTCGCCTTCCATTTTGCGTACGTTCGCGAACGCATGTTTTTTGTCAATATTATGAAAATGATAGCTAAATAAAGCCCATAATTTACACTAAGTAAAGAGCATACAAAATGCTATCGAATAGCAAAAAAAAATTCAGAAAACGGTTATTTTCTTTTTTTATTCGTGAGCCCTGGAAATGCCTATATATAAAAGTATATAAAAGCTCAAATGCAAACTTCTCAACATTTTCTATGAGTTTTGTTTAAAAAAACTTATGGCATCAAAAAAATTTAGTTTTCAAGGCGTGGAAAAAAGTTTTAAAAGTAGATTTTCACAAAAATTTGACATTTTCAGTAAGTACTGAATGGGTTAAGAAAAGTCTTATATCATTCAAAAGGAATTTAAATGGGCTTTCCATTGATGCCAAAATTATGTACATGAAGTAAGTTTAAGGTATGAGTATATTTTTTAAGCGGTAGGAGGATTCAGTTCGAAATATATTAATGTTATTTATGCATTGTAGAATTATTTTCTTTTTAACAACTTTTTACTTTATTTAAAAACGTGTTATTCCTTACCTGGTTTTTAGTATTGAGTTTTGTAGTAATATATTATGAAGCTTTTTTGACGGGAAATTTTCGCTTAGTAAATTTTCTCTCTTTTCGTATTTGGCTCTTAAATAATGGTTAAGCGTAGCAGGGAAATTTATGTTCCCTTAAGAGTTCACTTACATTTAATATTCATGAAATGGTATTTTGACCGCTTTATAAAGTTGGCATGTTTAATTTCTTATTTATTAAACAACAAAGTGACGTGACGATAGCACCTGCAACTGCACTCAACATAAAATTAACCATTAAGTGAAAGAAATCCTTGGCTTAAATTTGAGGGAAAGATACTTTATAATATTTAGGGTAATTCTACTAAATTTTAAGTTAATGATACTACATTTTACGGTACTTATACTTGATTATCTTAGTAATAGTGTACACGGGTCTTTCTTTTACAAACCGAACACCCTTTCTTGGGTCAAATTTTTGATTTGCCTGAACCGGATTTGGCCAAAAACAAATGATTTTTAGTTAGAATTTGTATAAGTTGGCAAAAACGCCAAATTTTAAAACGATTCTCTGTTTGAGAATCTATATCTCCAGCTCTAGCTATCTGATTGACTTTATTGTACCCGTTACTCGTAGAGTAAAAGGGTATAATCGATTCGTCGGAAAGTAGAAGGAAGCATTTCCGACCCCAAAAAGTATATATATTCTTGATCAGGACTAATAGCCGAGTCGATCTAGTCAGGTTCGTATGTCCGTCTGTCCGTATTAGCGCTGAGATCTCGGAAAATTTAAGAGCTATAGTATTGGGACTTGGAATTCAAATTTGTGGGCTTCCTGCGCAGCGCAAATTTGTTTTGTATCGCCCCCAAACGACTTTAAAACTAAACCCGTCTAGCGCCCACATTTTTTAACATTTTGCAATTCAATCGAGATAGCACACCACATGCAGCAAATATGCTTATTTCACTAATACGTCACCAAGCCGCTTGGGGCGCTGTGGCTAGTTGGCACTGTTGGCCAAGTGGCGCTATAGAAGAAGTAGATAGGTGTTGCTATGGGCTAGGTATGTTAGTGAAAAAAGCAGAGTAGCTTTAAGCATATCTTCTTTAAGCTGATTAACGGGTATCTAATAGTCAAAGCCATCGACTATAGCTTTTTTTTTGATATTTTTGTTCTTGAATTTCAGTTTGAACTATTTATATTTTTTAAGGCATGAAAATACAACAAAAATATATTTATGTAATGATTATTTAACTTCTTCTGAAATGTAAAGTCTTTGGAATTGCTACATATTTGTATCAGTGTAGATATTTGCAAGTTTTTGTTTTTGGCCACTTGATTTATTTAATATTGTTGTAAAAAGTTATTAAGAAAAATATACCACATATTATTTATCTATTTTTTATTATATATTATAATACTTATTTATTTTGCAGTTGCGAAAAAAAATAATACTTTTCCAGGGATCGAAAATTAGAGATGTTTGAGATGTTTTTATTTAAATAGCCATGTTAGGAATTTCTTTACGTACACAAAAGTAACGAGGAAGAACGTTATAGTCGAGTACCCCGACTATCAGATACCCGTTACTCAGCTAAAGGGACCAAAAGGAAATGGAGATATGCAAGCAGCAAAGCGAGATTAAAGATTTAAGATTTAAGCGTTAATCGATAGGTATTGACGAGACCAATACATTTCAGTTAAAGTTTTTTATCTAAACGGTTTGTGGGCGTTCAAGTGGGCGTGGCAAACTTTTTTTTGGGTCAATCGACAGGTATTGATGAGAAAATACATTTCAGTTAAAGTTTTTATTCTAGCATCAAAACTGTAGAAGCCACAGCTTTGGGCGGTTTGTGGGGGTTATAGTGGGCGTGGAACTCTGCTGAAACAAACTTGCGCTGTCTAAGAAGCTCAGGAATCTGGACGCCAAATCTCAATAGCCTAGCTCTTATAAATTCCGAGATCTCAGCGTTCATCCGGACAGACAGACGGACGGACAGACGGACATGGCTAGATCGACTCGCCTAGTGATCCTGGTCATACCTTTTTACCTTATGGAATCGGAAACGCTTCCTTCTGCCTGTTACATACTTTCCGACGAATCTAGTATACCCTTCTACTCTACGAGTAACGGGTATACAAGAAGTGTAGGGTAAGGTGACGAACTCGTCGTGTGACGTCACGACAAAAATTCTAGTAGATTTCTCTTATCGTGCAGACAATGTATTAACATTAATATTAATAAGAATTGTTTTAGATATGCCGTCAGTAAAAAAAAATGACCTCGACCAAGTGTTGCGAGCAAAAACTACTTGATAGGTCGACAAATGAATCTGAGTATCCACCAACAACCTTTTGTTTTCGTATCGCTTTCACAAGGCGTCCCAGGCGGGAACAAAGTTTTTATCACACAGGAGGAACTGTTTTACGATAGTACTAGCTTCCCCTCTGGTTTTATTTCTTAAGTGGTATACATTTTAATTCTTAATTGGTATACAATTTGAGCGGACTTCAGCTTAGGATGATTGCTATAAGCAGCAGTAAACATGTCCTTAAAGGCGGGGCAGTCTACCACCGCTAAAAGGTTCGGTGTCAGGGAGGGATTTTAATATGGCATGAACTTATCGAGATGTTGGCGAAAGCCGATTGCTTTCAATATAGCCTATCCTACATTTTCAGCTCGTAAATCTTTTGCGAGAGTTTTTGCTCTATAAAATCCGTCTTCCATCAAGCTCCGAAAATCTTGACCTGCTTTCGCAAAAAAAATGTCTAAACGCTGCATTCTCTTTCTCCAGCGCCTACGACCTCGGACAATGACGAGTCGTGTTTTCCTGGCTCTTGGGCCTCCTCAAAGAGATGTCACTTCGCGAAGCCGTGCAGATTCTTGGTGCGCAGCCATGACGTTACCGACCAGTAAATCGTGGCGATACCAGGTGGTTACAATTTAGCACCCACTCACTCAACGCCCACGGCATACTGCGAATCGGAGCTGGACTGCACGTCACGAGGAGATGATGGCAAAGCACACGATAAGGAATTCTTAAACTATTATCTAGCATAAATAAAAACAATCGTTGAACATTCCATGTATATTTTTTTCTTAGTGCACCAGCAGATTCGTCTTTTCAAAATCGTCAACAACACAAACCCAGCTTCTTGACAGTAAGACCATGCTACGTGCATTGCGGGAAAGCTTTGAAAACTACGGTCACACAACGATTTTTGAACTAGTGAAATTCAGAGACGATCTGAGTACTAGATCTTAAACAGCTGTTTTGTTTATTATTATATAAATTACCATTACCAACGGTTCTTTCCTAGCTTCGCGAAGTCGTTTAGAGTGGATAAAGGTACTTTCAAAATGATTTTGCAATTGGCTGCAACAATGCAATTCCTAGCTACTGGCTGCTACCAGTTGTCAGTTGCCAAGGACCACCACATTAACATTGGACGCATTTTTTTTTTAATTCTCCATTTATTTTTTCCCTTAATGGACAGGTTTTTATGTCAAGATGAAATTTCCATACATATGACCGACCGTCAAATGCAGACATCTCGAGAACACTTGTGTGGATGAAACTCACATCAAAATTCAGAAGCCAATACAAAATTACTCAGTATTCTGTATTAGAAAAGGATATTACATCTTAAACGCCAAGGTGGTAAGTTAAATATGTAATCCGTTATGTCTATGTAAAACAATTAAATTTTTTAGGTTTGCAATTATAACATGGAGATAATCGCCATTGTTTCCACCCATCCTCGGTCCTGCCATGACTCTTTTATCTGAAACCACTCCAGTGCAAGATAAGATTTGTCTAAGACCTTAAACGGACATCTTGTTCTAGCTGACTCTGGTACGCTGCAAAGAGCTTCGTATTGACTCCACACAGGAACTCACAGAATGGGACGCATCAGCATCAATTTAATTTAAAGAATTTTATCGAGTGCACTATTAATGTCCTTTAAAGTCGTTTTCGTTGCCAAGAAGATTGAATTATGAGCCCATGTTTTGTTGCCACATTGTTAATGTCTGCTGTGCACTGCAAAACATTTGTAAAAAGCGAATTTGGCAAGTCGAGGCACTCACTTTGACTACATTGAAGAGGCCGCAGTTGAATCAGAATTGGATGATAGCATTAGTGGATTATCCGTACGCGGTGAAAATGCTCCAGCTCCTCTTATATAATAAATAAATCGATCATAACTCTAAATATTTTTCAAATTTGCTCAACACTTGTGCACATTTTTCTATAAAGACCTGTTTTAATTCAGTGTCTTGCTATTTTTGTTCAGTGTGTTCCTTTTGCAAAGTGTCCGATTTCATGCTCGGTCATTGTTGTCAGCTTGGACATCATGTTCAACTGAGCTGACACAGTCAGTTAAGGTCAGCGCAACTGGAGTTAAGCGGCAGCGCTTCGACATTGTCTCCTCGCCGGTATCCACATGTGGATGTTCTTCACCATCACCGGCATTTACGACTGTTAAGGTAAAACAAATTATTTTATTCTCTTTTAAACATTTAGGTTTAAATAATTGCTTCAATAGACATGGAACGACAGCATAAGCTATCATGTCTTTCCGATGGGGAGACCGAGAAGTTGCTGAATTCAATTGGTTTTATAATTGATACGGACGGAGAAAATGAATTGGATAACGACTTGACTGTTGATGCTTTTGAGGCAGCGTTTCCTGTCGATGAGGAAGATGAAAAAGGGATTGAAAAAGCTATAAATATGTTGTATTCCGTGCTGGTATGTGCAACTTCAAGCGGATCTCCTGATCGGTTGGGGAACCTGTTGTCACCCTCAACTTCGATTGCATCGAATTTGCCTCAAATACAAAAACGCAAGCGCAAAGCGCCTGCTGAGTATGATATTGGTCATGCTGAAGAAAGCGCAACCGCCGAACTTGTAGGATATGTATGGGCCGCTTTTCAAAAAGATGTTGTAGCGCAAAAAGAACTTACTCATTAATAAATTTACGATTTTCTTCACTGAGCTTGACCTCTGAGTTTTTAAAATTATAATATCATTGATCATATTACTTTGTTAACCAACCACATTTCAGTGTTTTAATACCCTTGCAGAGGGTATTATGATTTCAGTCAGAAGTTTGCAACGAAGTGAAGGACCCCATAAAGAATATTTATTCTTGATCAGCATCACTAGACGAGTCGATCTAGCCATGTCCGTCTGTCCGTCCGTTTTTACGCAAACTAGTCTCTCAGTTTTAAAGCTATCGGGCTGAAACTTTCCCAAAAGTCTTATATCTTTTGCAGGTAGTATATAAGTCGGAACCAGCCGGATCGGACAACCATATCTTATAGCTATAGCTAATCGGAAAAAAAATTTTTTAATTAGTTCTGAGTTTCGAATTTAATTTTATCAAAATCTGACGAATATATCATATAGCTACCATAGGAACGATCGGAAAATTTGTGGGATATAGAATATTTTAGCTTTCTAGAATTACGAATTTATTTTTACACAAAAATCTGACGACTATAATATTTTGCTGAATAGGGTGGTGTCAGGACACGAATAACATGCACTCAAAAAAAAAATCACCATAAATATTAGAAAATCGCCCGTGATTTCAAAACGCCATTGAATTAAGAAATATCTTCTTGATAGAAAAAATGCCTACAATTTAAGGAATTCGCCATAATTTTTTTATTTTTGTAATGAAGAAGAGGAAGAATCGCACTTTTTTCTTTAACTAATGGCGAATTTTTCTTGATTTTTTTTTCTTGAAATAATGGTAAATTCTTACTTAAATTTAGGAAAGAAATACCCATATTTTAAGAGAAATGGCAAACCATAAATTCAAGAAAATTATTTATTTAAAATAAAGGTGAGTCGCCGTTGGATGAAAATCATAGGCGATTTTCTTGATTTAAAGGCGAATTTCTTGATTTAAGGGCGATTTTTTTTTTGGGTGTGGAACCGGCGTACTGGTGTTCAAACTTTAAGGTAGGCTACCTAGGTATACCAGGTTTTCCTATTTTAGATTACCGAAATAACCATGTTACTAGCATTTATTATCTCGTATAACTGCAAGGGTATACAAACTTCGCCTTGCCGAAGTTAACTTCCTTTCTTGTTATTCGGTATGTTTTACGACCATGTTTTTTGCACTTCGCGTTTCGGGATTATTTTGAGAAGGAAAAAAGGAAATTATTAGAATATTGTTGTTGGTGCGTTTTTGGACCAAGAATCCTTTCAGCGGCTCGGATCTCAGCAATGGAACTCAACTTAAAAATTAATATTGCTACACCCAAAAAAAAAATCGCCCTTAAATCAAGAAATTCGCCTTTAAATCAAGAAAATCGCCTATGATTTTCATCCAACGGCGACTCACCTTTATTTTAAATAAATAATTTTCTTGAATTTATGGTTTGCCATTTCTGGAAATAATGACAAATTTTTCTTAAATGTATGGTAAAAAACCTTAAAATTAAGGAAAAATTTATTTAAATAAGAAAAAAAATATTTATGATGTAAGATTACATCATTTTACACCTTACATTTGAGGAATTTGGTTGGTTTTGTATACCAATGTTGAATTTTAAATGGATAAAACCGTTTCTAATTTTAATGGCAATTATTACTACAGTCTGAAAATTTTTATATTTACCTGAATTTATTAAAGATTTATTTTATATAAATACTTTTTATAAACATATAAATAAATATAACAAATGGAAAAATCCTTACCTCAGACAACCCCGGCGTGAACTCGAACCCGCAACTGCTCACACCATAGCCAGACGTCTTAACCATTCGGCCACGCGTGCTTCTTGTCATACAATGACTAAAGAGGGCTAAGGTGCTTTTGGTCCAGCTTTACGCATACAAATAACGTTTATTCTAATCTAAACCTTTTTAACAACCGTTTAAACAATTTGGTAAATAGAAAAGTGAAACTAATAAGAATAAAAATTACATAAATTAAAAAAAAAGAAAAATAAATAAACAAAGGGTACACTTGCCGTGGCGTGGGCTCGAACCAGGTACTTTTGTTCGATTGTTTATTGACCGGACGTCTTTACCAGCTAGACCACCATCAAAATGTATAAAAAAAAGTCACTTTCTCTTAAAATATGGGTATTTCTTTCCTAAATTTAAGTAAGAATTTACCATTATTTCAAGAAAAAAAATCAAGAAAAATTCGCCATTAATTGAAGAAAAAGTGGGATTCTTCCTCTTCTTCATTACAAAAAAAAAAAAAAAAATTATGGCGAATTCCTTAAATTGTAGGCATTTTTTCTATAATCAAGAAAATATTTCTTAATTCAATGGCGTTTTGAAATCACGGGCGATTTTCTAATATTTATGGTGATTTTTTTTTGAGTGTACGCATTTTTTAAGGAACTGACCAACCTCCAGCGTATGTCCTTCTTGGCAGGACCATGCTTGATCAATTTGCTAATAACAATGAAATAAACATTTGGATCTGAAAACATTCCACATGCTGGTACTCGAATTGTATTTAGTTTCGCATATTTTTCAGAGCAACTGAAATTGCACGTCCCCCCCTTCGGATGCGGTTTGCCAACGAGCGCCGACGAGAGCGGGGACCAACAGCTGGCTGTATCGACTCGTGATTTTGATCAAGAATATATGATATTATACATATGTGTACATTCGCGAGGAAGATACAATAAAACAAATAGAGACGGGACATAAATGAAAATAAAAGAAGCATCTAAGAATGAAGCAAATGAGTTAAAATATTAGTTTTTAATACCGGGATAGAAGTTGAAGTGCAAATTAAATGATAAAGGTTGTTATAATTATTACATAGAACGCGAAAAGGCTCGTGCAGACAAAAATTAGATGTACATCGTGGCAAATTTAGGGGATAATAATTTCGTGTTAGTCTAACAGGAACATTGAAAGTTAGGCGGTTTACAAGTTATACAGAATCAATATCACCTCTTATAAGATTTTGCATAAAAATAGTACCAAGCATTGTTCTACGATTTGCAAGGGTAGGTAAATTAAGCAATAGTAATCTACTCTGATAGGAAGGTAGCCTTATGTTTCGATCCCAGTTCAAACTACGAAGGGCAAAAAGAAGAAATTATTTTTGTACCAACTCAATACGGTCAATATGCACTTGATATTGTGGACTCCAAACCGAAGAACAATATTCCGAAATAGGACGGACAAGGGAGGTAAATAATAATTTGGTTGTATAAGGGTCATCAAATTCTTTTGACGAACGCTTTATAAACCCAAGAACACTCATGGCCTTGCTGACAGTGGACATTTTGTGGCAGTCAAATTTAAGTTTTGGGTCCAGAAGAACGCCTAAGTCATTAACTGAATATATACGGTCGAGTGGCGTATTTTGAAGAGAGTAACTAACAAAAGTAGGAGTACCCCTATGAAAGGTCATAACCGGGGCGCTATGAAGGAGTGTTCACAGTTTCCTAAGACTTGATGGAGACGACAGTCTAATCCATGGTCCGGTAACGGCCGTTTGCTCCATCCTTTTCTCTTAATATCTTAGTCTACTAAATAAGTGTTTACTTATTAAAATACAACTATTCTGATCTGCACAGATCGCATGCTTACCTTATTCTGCCCAACACGTACAAATGTCGTTCATTTTATACTGAACAAGGAAGAACGCTATAGTCGAGTACCTCGACTATCAGATACCCGTTACTCAGCTAAATAGAGATATGCAAGTAGCAAAGCGAGATTAAAATGCGCCACCTACCGGCGGTATACAGATTTAAGCGTTATGGGCGTTAGAGTGGGCGTGGCAAATTTTTTTTGGACCAATCGATAGGTATTGACGAGACCAATACATTTCAGTTAAAATGTCTTACAATTATCTTAAAATTATCTAGCATAAAAATTGTGGGCGTCACAGTTTTTCGCGGTTTGTGGGCGTTAGAGAGGGCGTGGCATATTCGCGTGACAAACTTGCGCTGCGTATAAGGCTACGGAATCGAAATCTGAAATCCCAATTCTCTGTCTTTGATAGTTTCCGAGATATCCACGTTCATATTTACGATTTTTTGAAGTTTGTGGGCGGTTTATGGGCGTTAGGGTGGGCGTGGCAAACTTTTTTTGGGTCAATCGATAGGTATTGATGAGAACATTACATTTCAGTTAAAAATTTTTAATCTAGCATCAAAACTGTAGAAGCCACAGTTTTGGGTGGTTTGTGGGCGTTAGAGTGGGCGTGGCACTCTACTGAAACCAACTTGCGCTGCGTAAGAAGCTCAGGAATCTTCACGCCAAATCTCAATAGCCTAGCTCCCATAGTTTCCGAGATCTCAGCGTTCATCCGGACAGGCAGACGGACAGACGGACAGACGGACATGGCTAGATCGACTCGGCTAGTGATCCTGATCAAGAATATATATACTTTATGGGGTCGGAAACGCTTCCTTTTGCCTGTTACATACTTTCCGACGAATCTAGTATACCCTTTTACTTTACGAGTAACGGGTATAAAAATAATACACTATTAAAACAAGAACCATTCTTTGAGAGGCGAGCTAAAAAACCGTACCTGGGTAGGGCTGCATCAAATTAGAAACCAATTAAGTATTTAAAATTAACAAAAATCGAAAGAAAGATTTCATTCTTAACTATTTAATCATTATCATGTCCTTTTAATGAATTTGGCGATTCGGATAAAACAAGTAATCGATTCTACAATTGTATAGTACAAAGATATTCAGAAATGTAGACAAATATGTTGTTGTCAGACAATTTTTTTGTTTGAACAACACATTTTACAAAACAAAACCCATGGAATTCTTCCAAGTTTTTACTTACAAATTCTGTAAAATTAAAACTTACGATATTGTCATTTAAATTTCAAAAGGAAGAGTTTAAGACTTGCAACAATTTTTAATGATAAATTTCGCAGGCTTGGCGCATTAAAACCGTTAAT